TTCGTGTGTACTGCATTGTTGGCTAGTTCCCAGCAGACTTGTACCATATATCCGATCAAAATTTGTTTGTGTGCCATACTGTGAATAGCCTGAGTTGTTGGTGGCCGAGTTCTGACTATTGCCACTTGTACTATTGAGGGTGACATTGTTGTGACGTTGGTTATTAGTGTGTGCCATGGTGCTATTTCGCACGTTGTGAGTGCTAATACTATTGGCTGGGAGAAGTGTGGGCTTATTTATACTGCCATTGTTGTTGTTGGCATGATTTGGGGTCTTATTTTCCTTTTTTACCAATGGACTTATGGCTAGGAGAGGACAGTGTCGACTTTCGGGGGCTTTGACTTTTTTCTGGGATTATTTAGTGACATGTCTATATCTAAGCGGATAGGTGGTATGGTTTTATTGGTTATTTGATTACAATCTAATGGCCTTTCGGCTGGTGTCGCGGTGGCCCGATCGCAGTAATAAAATGAGCCAACATTTTGTCATCACGAACATTTCTCGACAGGCACCATGCGTTAAAGCATTCAAGATGATCTGTGATTTCCCATGGCAAACTGCTGATAGGAAACTTTTCAAGACTATTCAATTCTGTAGCGACGCCAAAATTTCTCAGTGACCGAATCCCAGGAAACCAAGCAATGATGATAAATGCACATCCGATTGTTTGACTAGGTATCCCTCGCTTCGCTCGCCCTCTACCGTGCTTTCGAAAACGTAGTTTTGAAACACCATTAGTCTTCGATAATATAACGAATATATATCACAACATAACCAGCTATTCATAGCCAATGTGTGTGGATGATAACGAGAGAATGTACGCTATTAGGGAAGTTATTGCCCTCTGTGCTTGCCTTAAACTGGGTTCCGTTGTAAAATCTTGTTCTTCAATAGATAAGTGTTATGTAGATGGATGGATGTAGATGTAGCGCCATCATGCGATACCCTATTTAGATAATAACAATATCCTCTTAAGCTCAACAACACGTTTCGGACATGGTAACAGTTTGGGACGGGTTTATTTCGGCGTCATTGCAGTGAAGGCGTTTAGTCTAGTAGGTGTTTAAAAGCACACGCTGTTCTAAACAATGGTTCAAACGCCTCTCCTGTATCACAGAGTTGTTGAACATTCGGGTACTACTGGTAAAAATTCACAACCCACTGCCGTGATGATAAATAGCTTTGATGTAAAACCACTTTCTTTAGATGAAAGAGACTTGGCCAAGATAGGCAAAGTCCATACGATATTGCATTTTACAATATCTAACGTTCAACTTCCTATTGGAGGACAACCGATGGTTCAGAAATATGTGAGTGGATAATTCTAGGGACGAGACAATATAGTGAGTCAGGATGCGTGGTCACAGGTTGGCAATTCTCTGATAACAGTGAACTACGAAACAATTTTCAGGAGACATCCAGTTATGAATTTGGAAGTATGGATGGTATGAAAAAAAATTCTCAGAAGGACAAGAGAGCACTAAAGACGGATGTTAGGTCCATCTAACCAGCTGCCAACCACTCTTTAGTAGGACTGCCACGGAAGTTTTGCCTCCAAAATCTGCTAAGCGAATACAAAATGGAAAGCCGTGGACGTGACTGTTTGAAGAAACGCCTATGTAAAAATCATACTCTACTGAGTGGGCGTAAGGAAGCCGTATATATGGATCAGTTCACTAGTTATATATCCCTCTCAACTCTTCTGAATGTGGATATGGAATAGTAGTTTATATGCAACATTCCAAATTGACATACGAATCACTGTTGTCACCTTATTGTTGGGAAAGCTTGACCAGAACCTTTTAAGTTTCAGACCATACCACAGGTAGAACTGACTGAAGACTTGTTGGCAGGTAGCAGGAGTTCTCTTAGCCCCCAGAAATGCACACAATTTCCAAATCTGGTATTCTGTAATGGATCAGACGTTGTTTTGTACTTTGGTAGTAGTACGAAAAACTGGTTCAAGTCAATAAAGGCTTACTGAGTTTCGGCGTTTGCATTTTAAGGGCTAATCCCTTATTGCATGGTCATCTATCAACACCCCTAGTATCTTGTCGAGCTGTGGAACTAGACTGCAATCTAATAGAGACTAAGGGTACATCAGTGGTAAAAATCACAGACCACAATTTTGTCTGTGGTCAGGTTTTGCACTTCCTTGGAGGCTGGATAAGGTTGTTGAATGTCAAAGCATAGCTGACTATGTTTAAGTGCCGTGTCCTCATGAAGCATATGGGCAGAAGTGATTTGTCGCTTAATTTGGAGGCAATGAAGTTGGACAAATTAAAGCGAGCAGGTGTGTGTATATCATAAGAATTGTTTGAACAGTGGGATTTGATGGGAAACTCAAATTGCCCTAGAGTACCAGGACAGAACTCTTCTTGGTTAATGCCAGATAGCAGTTCACAGGTAGCTTATTTCACATACGTAGGAAAACTAGATTTAGATCGTTGAAAAATTAATGATCTTAACCTGTGATAAATCACTCAAAAATATTGCTAATGTACATCATAAGCTGTGCCCATTATAACCCCAGCTGTACCTGCTTATACTGGAAAAGCGTATTAGATCACCTAGTTTTTACTTCGGCTGACTAAGTAGGTGATCCTGAACTCCCAAGGAGAAGACTGTGAGATTCCGCATCAAACGCTATTGTTATACATAGGCAGATAACAATGGCTAACTCGAGTGATTTGTAACTACTAGTGGTGTCGTAAAAAAAGGTGGCTGGTGATAGAGGATGTATGCTTGAAAAGGCAGCACCTCGCCATTCAATCACATTTACAGTGGGTAATTGTTCAGACATTCACTCAGAAGTATCTGAGGTTTTCTCGGCAGGCCTGTGGTTATGAGCATTCGCTCTATCACTGGGCTTATGGTTAGCGATGTTAAAGCCACTTCCCATTTATCAGGATATATACTAAGGCTCACTGATGGAAGTGAAAGTAGAAGGATGAGAGATAACACACCAACTCCACTGCTTTCCTATCACCATGCGGTCTAGAGCTTCTTCTTATAGTGCAACCTGTTGTAAGGAAATGCGACCCGAGTAAAGCAGATGGTGAAAAGTGGTATGATTTTATTAGATAAGGACGTTTCTAAACTCAGGTTCCCACGCTGTCTAGCCACAATTTGCGGTGAAAGGACGGGAAGGCCATTGTCTGTTCACTGATTTAATATCCGTTACTCTCTCAAGTAAAATAGGGATTATGTGGCGCAGCTTCCGGTCCAACATTTCGTCATCGGGCTCTCGTGAGCAGAGATGAGGGAACAAACTCGTCAACGACGATTAAAGAATATCGTATTGAATTTTTCTCTTCGGTTAACAACTAAAGCCCTGCCAGACAGCCTCCAGGGCACCGTTGATATAACGACCACAAGAGTGGTAACCGAGGTCCCTTCACAGCACTTTTAATCCCTTCAGACGACTAAAAGCTTCCCAACAGCACTCACTTTCATCGTATTATACAATATGATTTTTGCGGCACAGGCGACATCTGCGTTTATGTAGTTAGTTATTAAGATGGTAAGCCAATTCACAGATCACAAAATCCGATCAAGATTAGGAAACTAATAAAAGAGATCCCACGTCTTAAATCAATTTAATGCACTGTATCAAATAAATGTAGTCCTCATCTCAGTGCAAGAGCGAATTAAAACAACCACTTCACAACCAACAGAGGTTGGAGTGGAAACAGATAGGAAAAATGATATACCAGGTACTTACCCTCCTACCGAGATTTCGAGATCATTATGGTGGCAGTGATGTAAATAAATTCCAATGCCGCAGACAGTAAGATCATTACAAGGGCAAAATGTTCCTTTTCAGATGAAACACAGATCATTAGGGAAGAACCATCATTTCTGTATTCGTTAGTGAAAAAATTCGATATATAGGGGAATAGAATTCGCAGTTCACAGGGCCCTCAGACCACCCTTGTGCTACTTACACCGAAAGAAATAATATCAACCGCTCCATACTATTTTCTCCGCTATCTACATGGTTTAAGGTCGAACTGCCATAACCAGGGACTTAAATACCCAACCCCCAGTTTTTGGTAAAGAGACCAGAAATGCATAGAAATCAAGTCCACATCACCGGAGGGGCAGAACTGGGCTAAAACGTAAGATAAAGTAGTGATTGGGGTCCAGGTAACAGTTCATTGGGAGGAAACTCCAGTAGAGAGCAAAAATAATTTGGTCATAATGTATGACATGGTAATTAGTGAGCGTCTAGAGTAAGTTTATCCTTTAACTTTCTGGGTTACGACACAGCTAACTATCCAAATATCGGGAGATTTCACCTAATGTTACATGGTCAGCAGACTTGAAACCACTGTCAACAGACGGAAGCTGATGTGAAGGAAAGGCAGTCATCCAACTACATAATTCACAGAGCATCCCTGTAATGACAACTCAGCCAGAGAAATATTTCACCTGTTCAGTTCAATGCATCTAGCCAGTTCAGAAGCCTGGTAAAAATGACGAATCTTAGATAACAAACCGATCACAAAGCGTATTTTGTGCTAAGGAAACCATTCCATACAAGATTCCGGGGGGGGGGGGGAATTGGATATCAGTTCAGACGGCAAATTCAAGAATATTATTATCTTACAGACCCAGGGAGATCTGCCTACAAAAACATGTGAGAATGGGAATTCACTTATCTAGAAATGTCTGAAACATTCATCCTCGTTCACAGAAAGGGTACTGTATGCCCGGTAATTAGCCCTTTATTACCCTGGCTACAGTTTTATGCATGCCCCATTTAAGTTTAACACCTAAATGAAAAAGAAATATTTTAGGAGAAAATCTGCTAAAAATTCATAATTACATATCACATTGCTGCTCCTAGTAGTTTGAAATACTTCTTCATGGCTGAATTTTGTTTTATGGAGCTAAGCTTACTTTTCATGAACTGATTAAGTTTTCTATAGAAGCATTTTGAACGTTGTCAAGGTTTCCGCGCACTCGCTGAGAGACTTCTACCTACATTCAACACAATGGGAGATATGGAAGAAATATTCTACACTTTCTGTGATGCAGTTAAGAAAGGATCAAGAACTGCAACAGACAAAACGATTAAAAAGATATGTACTGATTGTAATATCTATACAAAATCGTTTAACGCCAACATTGTGGATATTGCATTTAGAAAGCATATTGGAAATGCTAAGAAAGATGTCGATTTCGCTGACTTCATCAGATTTATACAGGGTACAATGGCCGAGGAATATGCAAAATACGCAAACATGTCACAAGCTGATGCAGCAAAGGAAATAGAAAATAAAATATTGAGTACGAGCAAACCAAAAGCTCATGGAGCCACACAAGTTAGCAAAGACGCCGCAACAGCTCGCTTAACTGACGTTAAAGGGTACACAGGAGCTCATAAAGAAAGATTTGATGTTGAAACTGGTAAAGGCAAGGGAATCGAAGGACGGGAATATGTTATGGATGAAAAGGCAGCTGCAGGATATGTAAGCGGGTATAAAGGGAAAGATACCTATGACAAAACTCACTGATATTTTCTTTAAAATGAACTGCTATTCATTTACTTTGAAAGACTTTCATTTTAAATCATCAATGTACTGTCTTAACAGCTGAATATTTAATCAGCACTTTCATAAACTAGATTTTTTTTAATGAGTTCATACATTGATTTGACGCTTTAATTTAGCATAATGTGTTATTAAATATCTTTAAATGAATGCCTAGGTTATGTAAGCCTGAACCTTCATCTATTTCCCATTATGGATGTGCACGTAACATCTAATTTAGAGATTTTGAATAATACGTAATGTGCACACACATCTTGACACCTCTGCAGATCAAGAGCCGAAATGAGAACTACTTAAGAGTTTCATAATTCAAACTACTATTTAGCTTTTCCATGGGTGAGAGCATATAAAGTTATTGTACAAATATTGTCAACAGAATACTAGATTAAGTGATTTCTAGGTATTTGCTTAATGCTAATTTATGTCACTTGTAAACACTGTGGTATTACAGCCGGGTGTCATTAAAATGTCGATTTCAGTTTTCTGTGCTATCTGCTCTAAATAATTTACGGAAATGATAGACATTACTGAACAATAAATTACCTTCCACTGCGATTTTTTCGTGGCCAGCTTGGTAAGAAGTGACTGACTGAAATTTAAACGCGAATACCAGCTTATTATACTCTTTTGACAAGAACTTAAATTTTGTTAAATATGCCCTGGCTATGGAACTATCTACCAACAAAAGTCGTGTGACCACTTTAAACAATAATTTTTGTATATCGGCATTGCGTTAGCATCTTGACACTATATTATTAACCGGGTTCCCACAGAAATGTAATTTTGTGAAGGATAAATAGACATTACTGTATCTACCTTCTGTTTGTTTTTTCAGTTTTAGAAAACAAAATTCAGCACGTTAGTGACCGAATCATAAGTCATAGATTTAACTGACTTCCAAAGAGAGGAATAAATGGTTTGTTTTAACCTTAGTTACTCGTAAAACATAAAGTCATTATTAATCGCAAGTTTCCAATTGCTGCGAGACGACTCAAAAATAATAATATGTTAGTGCTTCTTATGGAACCGAAAATGGTGCTTTTTGTGACTCGAATTATTTTGCGCATGATGTGTACTGGAAAACTGTGAAAGTATTTGTTTAGGAAATTCGAAAGCGTTGAACGTATAGAAATAAGAAACTGTTCAGATAGTTTTAGATGGGGTATGATGCTAAATACAATACGATACGAGTTTGGTTGCTTGCTTATTTCTGGTCCAGCAAGTTCAGATGTTATATTTTAATAAACTACTAAACAGGTTTGACAGTTGACTAAGGTCTGTATGCGGGTGTCACTTTCCGTCTCCTGGCTATTAATCCATGTTAATAAAGGTAGGTCAGTCAATGTATGTCTTTAAGGTGAAAAGAAAGTATGTATTGAGCGGGCCATTCATATGTTAAAAAGGTAGAACCATGAAAACTGATCATTGCGTTTACTTTTCTGTTTCCAAGTCAAAAGAAAAATACTTCACATATTCAAGGAAAATATAAGACCATCAAAACGTTTCATCCACACCATTTTGCAAGTATCAGATAATGGTTCAAGTCACATTCAGGGTCAGTAGTAATATAGGACTAGCGTATGTGGCACTTATAGAGCTGCAAAATTTAATTTTGATGGGTGTGACTATAAGTTGCAGTAACACGTTAATTCCTGCTGTGAGTGAAAGTGCTGAGTAGCTGGTCTAAATTTTTTGTAGTTTAACAATTAAACACTACAGGACCTTCAAGAACAGTCTTTTAACACTAAAAAGCTTCTAGACATTCTTATTGTACCTCAAATTCAACTAGTGTTTGCTTTTATTGTTCTCTTTTTGGCCTAATCAATCAACTAGGCATGTTAACGGACTGACCATATGACTTTCATATTTCTCTTAAAGAAAGTGTTAGATGCATGAAATAATGTATTTGTTGTGTTGGAAGTGTCTTACCAGCAATAACCGCTCCAACCAAATATTTCACCAACATTCAAGTCACAAACTTCGGTTCATACTGGTTTTTAGTGAGATCTTTAAAATCCTAATTCTGCGAAAGCAGCCATCTATTTTGTAAATTGTAAACTTCATTTTTTGTCCAGTGAAACTGTGTGATCATGTATACAACGTAGGTATGACTAAATGAGTCAGAGTGCCTAATTTTGGTAGATTGGGTTATCTTCTAAACTCTTGAAGTGAAATATTACTCTAACTTAAAACTGCTCAACATCCATTTATGCCATCATCAGAAAAAAGTCAAATTTTGCAATAGACGAATCGAATTTACTCATTTGATAATCAACTACTAAGTTACTCATTGACATAGAACTTCGCACAGAATCGCTGCATTTTAGGTCTCCATACTTCAGAAGTGCAAATGAAAGTAGAAGAAAGAAATAACATGAAACTGCAAGGATTGGATGCATCTACGCCACTGATAACGGTTTTGAGACTTACCACCAACAGTGCTTAACGACTGATCCAAAGCATCTCGACGACCCTAAGTAGGTAGCCTAACCTTCCTATGTGGTCTAAACGAACAATCAGAGTGATCGTTGGTTAGTTCGATGTTCCTGTCTGTTCACCCCCAACTATTTCTCACCCTGGTCCAGCTGTGGCTAATACTGCTCATTGAGGAAAACGCCTCAGTATTCAAAGAACATGTTTCGGCTCGGCAGAGGGGGTCTTACAACCTCAAAGATTGATTTCCGTTACTTAACTATCACTAAACACCTAACCGCATTATTAGTGAATGCATTGCTTCAACGATAACGTGAGGTTTAACATAGCCATCCAGGGTCATAAAAGTTGTGTTGAACTCAGTCTTTTGGAGTATATGTTTTATGTGCCTGGATTTGAGCCACACGTATCATATGAGTACCAGCGATACTAACTAGCTGCTCAGGTTGAAATAGACTGAGAATTAAAATGTATTCCACAAAAGTGAATTACTTGCAAAAATTAGAGTTTGGGTTTTGCCCAAGGTGTCCAGAAGACTGTGTATTTTGCCAGCATTTTCACATAAAATGACAATATCATCAATGAGCCTTTTCTCTGGTATTGTGTCAATCCTTGAAATATAGAGGTCCACCAAGGCTAAGCTCTTCAGTATATCTATAACCAAACTAAATAAAAATAGTGAAAGCGAGCGTAGCTTTTGGATACTATTGGTTGTCATTACTTAAGATTACTACTCATCATAAGTTCTCACAAGTCTACATAAATTCGGCCAGAGCATCCTGGCTGGTACGATATATTTTCTCAGCCCTCAGCTGCCTAATTATATAGAACCATCACTTTAAAAGTAACTGATTGCAAGCTCATACGGACCTATAAGTTTCACAATTTAGATTACTGAATTATTTTATTGGTATTCTTGTAGTCAAGCTGACGTCTGACCAAAGTCTATATGGGTATGGTCTAATTGGGTCAAAGACCTCTTCCATTTACAATAGAATTGGTTACGGGATTAGAAAATATGTATTTCATTTTCAATTTTACACAATTTTTCAAACCAAGAATTTGATCAACACCCCGCAATTAATTATTTGCCTGTAAGAAAATTATAATTGTGCTTTCACTGGTTAAAAATATCAGAAATAACGAGACCATGTTAGGACCTAGTCTCGCAATTTCTTTTGTTCCAACAACTTGTATTTTATTCGGAAGGACATTATTCATTTGCTCCGTATTCCTTTACACTATTTCTCCTGCAATGAACATAATTCCTGGATTTCCCGGTGGTCTACTCATCCTGTTCTCCAACGTCCTTAACTTAATTCGTAATGAAAGTATAGTCATCGTTCCCAAACAAATAAAAACAGGCTAGTGTGCAGTAACTAAAAAAAATATTGAGTAGTCAGTGCAGTGACCAGAGTTTCAACACATTTATGTTGTTCTTTTGCAAATAATACCACGTAAGAACTCATGAAAAACAAAAAATTAAGCTACAAATACTTCTAATTATACTAAAAATAGCTAAGCTACTCGACCTTAAAAATTAGGGATTTTGACACAAGCAATTTTCTGCACTACAAAACAGAAATAGATTTTTTCAACTCAAGTTAAAGAAGTACTTTACTCAGAAATTAGTAAACAAATCGTGTTCAGTTGACTCGACCAGAAATTAAAGCGTTTCTAATATACCTAACTTACTTCTAGATTTCTCAGAGCAGAATGTGAAAGCTGGAAACAGGTAATTAATATGGAGGCTGTCTTGAAGCTTATTTATCTAGAGATAGTCTTATTAACTAGCTTAAACCACCTAAGAAACCATTATCGATAGAACATTAGTATCGCCTTAATCTGACATCTTGTATCACCCAGGAGGTTAGATTGTTTTCATTTTTAGATAGTTAAGTGTATTACTTTCAAGGTGATGAAGTTTGCTGACCAGACTCCGTCTTCTGATCCGATCAACCGGCAAGTTGTAACTTATTCTGTCTTACAGACGACCACTTTCTATAAAAAATTTGATGATGCGCTACTATTGGGTTTGACCGCAGTGCTGATATGTTTCGGTGAAGGATACTTTCAGTTTACATTCCTTTATATATTTTTCGTGACCACCGCACTCGCTTGGTTCTGTGCTATCATTTTCAGCAGACCCCAAGACTGCTCACAATTCCCATATTTTCGGATAACTGACCATTAATTTGGACATGAAACGCTTAAAAATAAGTAGAGATGTATATGCTGTTTAGGAATTTAAATATATTAGACGAAAATTACCACAAACATAAAAAATATGTGTATATGTCACACAACAACTTTGACGTAGTGTAGCATAAAACAAGGATATACTACTTTGGAGAAAAGGAGTACAAATTGTTGACAGATTTATTCACTATACATTGCTTTTTAATGCTGACTCAGAAATACTTCATAAACACAATGAATTTAGACTTATTCACTTGTCTAGTTTGTATTCAACTATTTTACACCTAGATTTCGTTAAAAAAATAGATTACAAAATGTTATTCATATATTTT